TGCTCTTCCAAGAAAAACTTTTCCATGTAAAAGAATTCTTAATCTCCCCTTTGACTGTCATTGTTGAAATGATGGCTTCACAGGCTTGAAATTTAAGACTCTATCGGCGTCTTTTCTGTTTGCTGTGATTTATGAATGGTTTCGCTGTTGATTATCCTCCAAGATTACAGCACAGCAGCCCTGACAGACAAGCAGAGGAAATTTCRCAGGATAACGGGCAGCTCCTTCTCCAGGGCAGTAAGGCAGGGTGGTGTTTTTATTCAAGTATGTAACAATATCAGTGAATGCTGACTGGACACCACAGGCACTTGAATACTCATCATGTGGTACCCTACTCAAAGGCAAGCAGGGTCAGCAGAAGTCTTGATRACTCTTCTGTGCTTCAGAGCCTTTGCTCATTCTGTAATACAGCATYCGGTCGGGGTTTTTTGTCTGGATTGTGGCACAGACTCTACACACTGCAGTCAAATGTGAGAAGGCAACATTTTCATACAACCCTGTGCATGTTCTTCAAAGACCATCCTTCTTTCCTGCAGTCACAAAGTCTACTGCCTTGTCTGGGAGATATACCGTCTTTGTTCRAGTCCAGGCTATTCAAAGGAAATTTGCTTCCTTTGATTTATTGCCAAGAACAGGCACTCYTGACCCCAGAAAAGGAGATTTTTGTGCTTTTCATTCCCATTTCCTGCCAGACAGTTTGTTCCAAGTCACTGCTAGGAGGGCTGTTTGTCTGGTGAGGGTAGCAGGGCCAGAGCAGGTGCAGCCATCACTTGAGGGGGCTGTGGCCTTCACTGGAGCAGACAGCCAAGACTTGGGAGTCRAGGTTGAAAAAATTTCTGATGTAGGGGCTGCCTAAAAATAAATGAGTAGACCTCTCAGGAGGTGATTTTATCTCTTGATAAATGGCCTCTGCTTTTCAGGCAGAAAGGTTCCTTTGATTTGAACTCTGCCATATTGCCCTGCAAAATTAATCATTATTGGCATGTGATTTCCAGGTCCAGCACTATGGAGGTGCTTCCTGCTCTTTGTATCACATCTGAGCCTGTGCAGTGAGCAGTGGATTGCTGACCTTGTGCTTTGAATAATTTTGGGCTGAGGTGAACAACTTTGCGGTGTGCCAGGCAAGGGTGGTCATGAGCCTGACGTACTGGGTCCTACTCTGTGGTCCTATTCCCTTCAGTGATGCTGCTGCTTTGGTGCCTTCCAACACTRCTGTCAGGAACACATGGCAGAGAGGGAAGGCTGTGCTTCTTTGGAAAGCACCAGAGAGCACAGTYACATACAACCATGGCTCGAGCTGTTCTTACTGGGACTACTTACACTGTGGGTGTTCTGAAGGATCAGGTTCGACACTGAACCAGAATGGACATTCCTAGCATTCTTCCCATTTTGCCACCCAGCCTGCTTCAGAAAAAGTCCTGATGTAGGTGTTCGTATCCTGTCTCTTTCTTCCCTCACTGTATTTGTCTTTCAAGCCTGGCAGCAGTGGAAGGAAACTTAGCACGTGGTGCTGACACACTGCCATGTCTGTGGGATGGCAGATTCCTAAAGCACTCAAATCCAGCTTAGAGAATAGCTAGGAAAACAGAAGGCAGAAGAATCATAAAAGCATGGAGAGRCCTGAATCCCACTGGATTTGAGGAAGGATACCAGCTTTTATCCAGAAACAGGGCTGCTCACATCAGAAATGCTGTCTGGGTTCTTCCCCCACTGTCCACACAGTCCCTCTCTTATGACGTCCCACGTGTTTCAGGACTGGGCCTGTGATTTTGTATTTTACAACAAATAGATCAATGAAAGAAAAAAAAGTTGGAGAAATTCTGAGAAATGTTTGTTTCTAAAAGCCTCTAATTGGTACTGTCAGGAKTGCACCTCTGCCTCAGAATGAATTTTAACAGATACAGTCCTGCTGGAATATTCCCTAATTTTCTGCTACTTGACTCCCTACTCCTTATTTACAGTTGTTTGACACTTAAATTCCCAGCTAAGCAGGGTTTTTCCTTTGGAGTTAGAGGAGTGGTTATACTGGTAGTGGAGGCCACTATCCCCCAGCCCGTGCCTTCACACACTGCTGCCCTTGTACCACTGTGTTTGCACCTGTTTGTCTCTACTCAGCTGCTTCAGAAAACTCCCCTCCAGACTTTTCCTTCCTCCTTGTTCCACCATACACACAAGGGCCCAGTTTACCTTTTCCCAAGCCAAGACACAGGAATGTACCAGTCYCTAGTGATTCCTTCCAGCAAATTAAGAAGTGCTGAACCAAGGAGGGTTTCAGCGAAGCAACGTGGCCTCAACTGAAAAATTTGTTGTTTTTCTCCTTCRACAGGGCACTGTGCAATATTTACATCCTGTTTCACCAGGCCTAATTCTACTACACCATATATATATACACCTGTGTCTGCACACTGTATCCTTCATTCATTAAGGCTGATTTTCCCTGGCCAAGAGCAGGATRCTGTGACTCCAGGAGGATTCTGATCACAGTCTGAGTCATTTCCATCACAACCATCAGGACAGGAGCATTTCTTACCAYCTGCCTGCCCTGTGCTTTATACAGAGAGCTCCAACTTGGGTGAGCAACCCAATACTAATGTAAAACATATTAATAATCATAATCTTAACAGCAATAATACCACCCCAACACACATATATGCCGCAGAACAATAACAACTTTAATATCAGTACCAACATAATACATGTGCACACATCCCCTGCAGAACCAGCAGCAGTTTTGCCAGTCATAAGTGAAGTCAACATCCCTTCCAGTGCTTGGGGATGCTCAGCAGTGCTGAGTGTTTCAGCTGTTTCAAGTTCAGCAACACCTAAACACGAACAACAGCTCCTGAGCTGAACACATTGTACTGAAATCTACCTTTGAAAACATACATTATTTAGCTCCAGGAAAGACTGGATTGCAGGTCCTCTAAACAAGAATCAGAAAAAACAGTCTCCCCTTGACTGCTCCCCAAGATTAAATCAGGTTTACTAGGACTAAAGGACAGTGCACTCACCCCTGCCCAGTGTCTCTTTGTCCTGGTCCWTTTTCCTCTGAGGAGGAAAGCAGCTCTGAAGAAAGACACTTCTTCCTCTTGCACACACAGTCTTGAGCCAGTTCAGGAGAGGGGCAGGGGAACTGGGCTGCAGGGGAACTGCTGGGCTGAATGCAATGCCTGACTTCACAGTGTTAACTGGCCAGAGAATCCTATTACATGATAGGTAGCAGGCCAGGGACTAATTTATGGAAATTTTGACCTTCAGTCCCCTTTGACATTTTCAGATCAGCCGTAGCCTGTGTGAGACATGAGAGCCCTTACAGTAAGGGGCTCTAAATCAGCCTGTGCAGCTGCTGAAGCCGACGAKCGGGTCAGAGGTAAGAATTCACTGAGGTTCGTGTGTGGGCTGCTCGGTGCCTGTTTGACATTTACAAATCAGTGACATTCCTCTGCACAGCTCAGTGCATACAAATCGCTTCAGTCACTCTGAGGAGGGCCCCTCATTTCAGTCAAAGGTGGATCTGGGCATCCTTGGCCTTTTCTTTTGACTTGAGCAAGAACACATCTACAGAAATCCAGCTTTACCACCCTACAGTGGGGYCCTTTTAGGTTCAACCCAACCTCCAAGCACTTTGTGCCATCTTCATGGTTTGGGCGTGAAGCTTTTATCACTAGGTAGAGTGCCTCACATTTTCATYAGTTGCCACAACAAACATTGTGTTTGTCCATTTCATAGCACAAAYAGACACAGTCTCATTCAACCGGGTGCTGGGCCAATAACTTGCACCAAGAAAAGGCCAGTTGGATTTCAACAGTTTTCCATGGAAACCTATTTGCCATGAATAAAGCTCCACCAGGCTGAGCCATAAGAGTGGGCTTGCCCCAGATTTCTCACAGTCTAGACTCTATGTAGAGACAAAACATGATGAGAAAAACACAACCAAGGCTGTGGACAAGGTAACATTAGCCTCAGCCGGTTATTGTGCAACRAATGACCATATTGGCTTCAGCCAGCCTGACCTTTTACCCGCTGCTCCTTCTCTGGATCCTGAGGGTTAATATGGACTCTGCATTCTCCTCYGTCCTGGCAGTGCCTCTGGCACACRCTGCTTCTCATGGATAGAGGCTGTGCTGGGATTTAGGATGCCCTTCCATGGTGTTTATGGTGGCCTTGACCACACGATGGCTGGGATAGGGAGGCCGGCTCCTTGGTTGCGGACCAGAAGCAATGGAGCCAAAGAAAGAGGTGTGAGGGTGTAGGAGGCATTAGGGAGCGGGAAGCGTGAGGGGTGCCATGAGGGGACATGGAGGGTTTGTGTACCTTGCTAGCCAAGACTGCCATGGTGATCTGCTGCCTTTGTGAAGCTGTTCTCTGCCACCTCAGAGTGAAGAGGGATGATGGCTCTAGACAGAATCTCTTCTCTCACGCCCACAAGCCATAACACTAAGGGGAAACGCTAATTTGGAGGTGTGGGGGTGAAAGAAGAATGAAAATCAGAAACTGAGGGGGGGATCAAACATGAGTGAGGAAAACTTGGACAGAAGTGAGGGAACCATTGCACAGAAACTGTGGCGCTCTGTAGCGTCCGTGGTGAGGCCCCTTTCCCAGCCTCGCAGAGTGCAAAAGAGCGAAGAGAGACGAAAATCACAACGGAGGGGAAAATGGGACATTACCGAGGTAAAAACTCGGAAAGCGGTGAGGGAATCAGCAGAGGACAGCCAGGGGTGTGTGTGTGGGGAGTCCGCTCTCCCGCCGGCGGCGCGCGGGGCTGCCCCGTCCCCTCAGGCGGAGAGCGCGCGCGCGCCGTGCCTGGGAAGCGCCCGAGAACGAGCGGCCGGGACAGGGCTGGGGGGCCGGGGGAAGGGGAGGGCGCTCCCCGGCTCCCTCCCACCCTCGCCGGATAAATGAGCCGCCGGGAGGCGGCGGGCGGCGCAGCCTGTGGACGAGCGCGGCGCATCCCCGTCCCGTCCCGTTCCGTTCCATCCCCGTCCCGTTCCCCCGCCGCGCCCAGCGCTCCCTGCCGGCGGGGCCGCCCCGGGCGCTGCAGCGCGTACTCGGCCGCGTCCCCGCGGGGCTGGGCGGGGGGATCGGGCTTCGCTTCGCTTCCCTTCCCCGGGAACGCCTGAGGGCGGGGGCGGCCGGGCGGGCAGGGCCAGGGCCGCTGGAGGGGAGGCGGCCGGGACACCCCGCTCTGGCTGATGCTGGCGCTGCCCCGCGCAGCACCGGGCTCCGGCAGGCTGGTAGCTGCGGTCGGGACTCAGGAGGGGCCCCCCGGGTTCCCTGCCCCTTCCCTCCCTCCGCGGCGGGCGGCGCTGGAGGATTTTCTCCCGCCGCGGCCCCCTCGCTGTCCCCCAGACATGGTAGGTCACCTCCAGCTGCAAGGGATGGACGAGAGCCTGAAGGAGAAGAGCCGGGAAGGCTTGCTGGACAGTCCGGACTCGGGGCTGCCCCCCAGCCCCAGCCCCCCMTTCTACTCCCTGTCGCCCGGTGAGGGCCGAGCAGGGGGCAGCGGCGGTGCGGACCCCCCGGCCCCGGGCCACCGGCGAGAGGCCAAGGACGGCAAAGTGGTAAGAGCCAAACCCGGGCACCGGGCTCTGTCCCCTCCGGACCCCGCGGGGGAAATGCTGGCCGCGCCCCGGAGCGGGGGGCAAGCAGGAGGGCGCCTGTGACCACTKCCCGGGCACCCCTGAGCTGAGATCCCCCCGCAGTGCCCCTCCGCTGGCCGAGGGCTCTCCGGGCTGCCCGTGGCGGCTGCAGTCCCCTCTTGGCAGTGCCGCTGCTGTGCCAGGCAGGGCTTGGCCCAGTGCCGGGCAGGCTTTTTGGATACACGCACAGAGCGCCGGCAGTTTGGCTGGGTGAACTCTTAATAACGGTGTGGGAGTGAAACCCAAGTCTGAATCAGGCTCCTCTGCCCACCTTYGGAACAGAAAAGCGTAATTGCTTGTCAGTGACACTGCTCTGCCTGGTAGGTMCAGGTTGGAGCTGCATCCGTCCGGACCGAGACAGGGGCGTCTGGCTCCCAGCCATCATTACACCCTGGCATCCCACATCTGGTTTGTGAGCAGCGTGGAGCCACGTTTGTCGGAGCCGTGGCAGAAAGAAAGACAAAAGTGCCCGTTAGCTGGGGCAGGTAGCGATGTTTGTCCGGGGAGTTGGTGCGGGACAGGGTCTGGAGAGGAATGTGTGCCTCTGCCCTTTGCTGGAGCGGGGCTTTGTGGCATGAGCCTGAGTGAAAGGTTTGTCGGAGCCAGGGCTAGTGGTTTGTAAGCTCAGACAGCTGGCAGAGCAGTGCAAGTTTTGGTCAGCCTGATGCAGTGCCAGTGAAGTGGTTGAATGTGGAGTAGGATTTGGGTAGATTTATTATGGCTATTATTCTGGTTTATTTGTTTATTTCTATCCTGAGCTGTAAAACCTGTTTTTAAAACACAGCGTTCAGAGCATAAGCAGTGGTGGTGGAGGTTTCTAAAGGATGAWGAAAGTTCTTCCCCAGGGCTCTTTAAAATTTTTTAAACATGTATAAAAGATGTTTGTAGGTGTATTCAGCGTGGTTAATTGGCTTCTATATGGAATGAAAACTGCAGCACAAATCTTGCCATGAGAAAAATTTATCTACCTATGGTTTAATGACAATTCAAAGATTTCTTTCCCATAGAGACATTTTGCTATGACTCCTCACACCCTTGTGCACTTTCTCGAGTTCTAAGGCTGTTTGAGMACATTACTGAAAACTGCTTTTTGCTCCTGAACATGCCAAAACCTTCCCWGTGAACAATGACTCCTCACAGTGGAGAGGGTGTGAGGTGTTACTATGACAAATCTCAAACCTGCTAACGCCGCAGTTCCTCATATGGAGCCTTACCTGCAGATGCCTGGGYGTGTGTGCCATCTCGATGGGACTGTTTATGTACAAAGTTACCCACACACCTCTGATTTGGCAGGATCAAGCTGTTGCTATGTGTCTGTAAAATAAAATGTGGGAGGAAGGCGACTGAAGGCTGCTGGACCAGAAAACAGGAGGGATGGAGGTGTTTGCAAAGCTCTGTAATGGGGATGTGACAGTCTCCATTCCARTAATATGACAGTTGGCCACCACTCCACCCTTAGATATTGAAGAAGAAAGAACAAACATAAGAAAATTTATTTCAGTTCATGGGCTGTTAGGACTGAGACTTTTAGTGCTTGATTCCTACAGGTAAAGAAAGTTGTTCCTGTGATCTGCGTAAGGTAGAATTAAGTTTTCCAACTATTTTGATCATTAACAAACATCTYAGACACATCAGAAAAGCTCACACTGTAGATGTTTCCAAATTTTGTATTACAGTGCAAGGGTAGCCCTAGGCTCCTGATTATATTGCAGATATTTCCACGCTCTGAGCAGGTACAGAAGGGTGCAGGGATCCAAATGGTGAAACCAGTTAGACTGTATTTTTTTTTGGGTGGTGCTGGGGTCTGCTCTTTAACTCTGTTTGATCCACTGCAAAATAATGAAGTAAATAGGAATTTTCACTCTATTTGACTACAGAGAGTTTCACTTCCTCTCATTTTCACCGTGCAAATACTGTACTTGCAGCTGTTATTAAAGCAGGAAAAAATATGGAGAGCATTGCTTGCTTCATAGTTCTAAATTGCAGTGTCTAATTAGCTCTAATTTTGCCGTTTAACAAGGACTTGCAGATCTATGAGCAGTTATGCAATCCATGAATGTGCTTCTGTTTAAGTCTGCTCCTCTGCTGTTCATCAGAGCGTGCAGAATTGGCAAATCAATAATTGCAGCTATTTGCACACCAAGAAATGCTTTTTTTTAATCGCCTGTTATATTAGTGTTTGTTTTGCTTATAAACGTGACSGAGCCAGGAACACAGCCTGCACTCTTTGTGTTGGAATACTATAAAACCATAAGCTCAGTCTCCAACAGCCAAAGTTCTAGTATGTACAGTTACAATAAATTGCTGTCAGGTGAAGGAAACAACATTCCAGATCTGTGTGAATTATTTCRTATTATTCTTTGCTGCAGAACTATSAAACCACCAGTCTGAACCCAGTTGCATTCTTCTGCAGTCAGCTATTTTGCTCCAGCTTCACAAATATGCTACAGAATTTTTCTGTCTTTAGGACAGCCTTTCTCATGCAAACTAAAAGGACATGGCATGCCCTTATCGAAGATTTTCTTGTATGTAAAATCTGTGCTTTCTCTGCTTTGTGTTATTAACTGTGACTCTGAAAAAGTAAACTCTCTGCTCTTTAATAAGCACAACTTTGTTTCAAAGACAATGCACCATTTATTCACATTTAACCAGCCAATTTGGGAGCAGCTTTGGGATCCAAGAAAATATGAAAGGCAGTTTAGGGCCAAAGTCATAAATACCACAAGTTCGACACCATTTAGGGATTTTTTTTTGTGTGTTTTACTTGTAGTGCAGGAGAAATTGGCTTTTATTTCTTCAAATAAAATCCATGTAGGGAATTTGTCAAGTGTTTTGTGCTTAAGTGCAAATATCCTAAGGAAAATAGAAGGTGACTTATACCTAGTTCTGCCTTTTAAATCTGAAACATTATTAAATTGATTCTTACGACTTGGGTTACTGAATTCTCTAGGCTGTGCCTTGTAAAGCTAGGCCAAAAGGAACACAAGTACAGCAAAATAAATCCCTAATAATATGCACAAAGAAGCTGTTGCTGAAAGCATAGGGAATGAAATGACATGAAAGTACCCATATCTGTTTAGAGTTTTCCCTGTTGTTCTTGCCCTGGGATATAGATTTAGGCTAAAAGAACTGCTTTTGGACTGTGCTGAGATAAGTGCTTTGCATTCATTGCACAACTCCTAATGGATATCTGGGGACATCAGGACCACATTCATCTGCAGAACTATCAATTGTACTTTTTTTAAGCAGCAGATTTTATGTTCTTTCCCAACAGTGGAAGGAACTTTTGCCWCTGCAGTGAGTTCCTTTTTCTTTCAAAGACTTAAGCATTTGGGCACTCAACCTATCTCATTGAACATTGATTTCAGTGGGACTATATCCTAGTCGAATCAGCTGTAGGGATGCAGGGAATTTCTACTTAGATTCAGGAGCAAGAACGATTCAGAATCACTCTTGTGTGGTGGGAGGAGATTCCAGCTTCATCTCAAGTATGGAAAAGGAGACCTTACCCCTTGGCACAGCCTCCACAGAAAACAAGGGGGTCCCAACAACATGGTCAAGTCAGTGTGTGTGCCAACACTGTTGGATTAGTGGCTTGTATTAAAAAAAAACCCTAAAAGGCCCAGAAATCTCTTCCTGACATGCAGCATTTTGAAGAGCCCTTGGTTGCAGTGCCAGCATCTCATCCTRCACTGAAAGTGCTCCAGGAATGGGGCAATGTCTTGTAGGGGCTGAGTGGGGAACGTCATTGCATGTTACCTCCAGAGCTGCCAACACCTACAGTGRAAGCACATTCAGAGGGAGGCCCAGCACCCGACCTGAGCCAGCCTGCAGCCCGCACACGATGCAGGGGACGGGRCTCTTCAAGGCTGTTTGGGTCCCAGCAGCTCTGGGAAAGCCCTGGGCTGGTGCAGGGAGCGAGGCACCCATCTGGCACCACAGCAGGCTTTGCCTGAGGCTTTGTTGGCAGCCTGGCATCCTGACCCACTTCTGAGCTGCTCCTGTGGGGCTGGATCCTGCAGCAATTCCGCTGGCAGGGGTTGGTGGTGGCTTCAGTTCCACGCCTGTGTCCTCTCCTGGCAAAGGTTAATCCCACCTGGCTGTTCCCTGTTCCTCAGCTCCGTACAATTCTGGATATGCACCCACAGCTCCTCCTCCTTGGTGAAGGACAGGGAATGGCTCTGGGCCTCACTTGATCTGCCTCCCCTGATGGGACARATGTGCCTTCTGGGCAGATCAGGGAAGCAGGCATCAGGATCTCCTCATCTGCTCTGAAAAGYGTGGCTCTGATGAAAGACATTGAGGGTGATGTCTTCTAGCTCTTGAATTTCCATTGTGTCCCTGTGTAACCCTGTGGACAAGAAGCAAAGCAGCACACATTTCCCACTTGAAATAAAAGAGAGAGATAAGCAGGAAGGATGTAATTCTTTGAAATAATAAAGCCCTGCTTTCTACCTGAGGTTTGCATTTACTGTTATCACCTCCCAATATAATCTCATCCGGCTCTAGTATAAATTACTCGTAATGTGCAATACGTGTAGATATTGGGAAAATAAATGGTCTGTTAAACAAATATTGCTTATCTTCTAGAGCGGAGAATGTAGATGTGTGTCAAATAACTCAGCCAGATCTTTCATTATAGCTGTAAATAACAGCTGAGTAAAGTGACATTTTCATGGACCTGACATGTTACCATAGTGGGAAAATGTGGTGAGAGATTTGCTTATGCCCTAGCTAAGTTAGGAGCTGGGAATTTAGGAAGCTGTATCCTGTTTGTAGCCCTGACACTTGGAAAGCTGTTTCCCCTTACAGTCCCTGGAGATCTAATGCCACATCTTAGTGCCTTCCAYATAATGACCATAGCAAAAGGATTCAGTCAGTTCTGGTTCTTTGTGCTCTCTGGGGAAAACTTTTGGGGGTTTATTTATTTCAAGTCACRTTAATTTCCTTTCCTTTTCCTTGCTTTGCTGCCTGGAATTTGGAAGCTAAAGAACAGTCAATGCTGTTGTTGAGCTGTAGATTGAATTCCGTTCAGCAACCAATTTTATCTGTGTTTATCTATCTGCTACTTGCAAAAAGCAGAGTTTAGCTGCCCAGGCCGTTACATGCCTGAAAGGCATCAGAGCTRAGGAAGAGGGAAAAATGCAGCCAAACAAGAAAGCTCTTCAACTTTTTAATAATACTGTAACTCTTTGCTGGTTGAAACAAATTATGTTCTGGAAAAGAAATAAAAATAATAGCACATTTACTGCTTAATATTCACCTTGGATCTGTTTTGTACACATGGGAGTCACTTTTTTGATCTCTCCAGTATCTTTCATTCTGTCTTCTCAACCTTCCTTGCCTACCAGACTCCTTCTGTCCCTGTATAAAGATGACAGGGTTGTGGTGGCTTTTGTGGAGCTGCATCTGGCAAGTACCAGCATAGCTCCAGTTACCAGGGACAGATGAATCAGGTCCCCACTGCAGCATTCCAGGAAAGCAGCCCTTGGATTCAYGGACTTTGACTATGGATCACTTGTGGACAGCCTGGTCTAAAGTGATGTGGGCTKCTTCTCTTCACCATCAGTGACTCCCAGGAGTGTGCAGCAAGCTCTTCCCCCTGCCAGCCTATCAATAGTGCAGGATAATACAGAAATCCACCTTATTTGTGGAGTGTCTGGAGATCACCAAATGATTCCTAGAAATGAACCAGGGATCATGATTTTCTCAAGGGAGCTCAGCAGTCCAGTGCTCCTCTTCTTTCAGCCATTCCTGTGCAGAAGGAAAAATAATTGAGTCAGTATTTTTTTTGACAGGCAGAACATTTTTGTTTTGTTTTTTTTCCCTTAAAGCAGATTGGAAGGAGTTGGTGTCAAACTCTTGCCAAAAAGCCAGCTTTTGACATGTGCCAAGTATATAACATTTCAACCCCAAAGACAAATCTTTCGGAAAGCTTATATCCCCTGTTCCTTGCTTCCCAGCTCCAGGTGACTTGCAGGAGCCGACATTTCAGAACATCACTGGAGGGAAAACAAAATGTCACCTCAAGTACCTTTCAGTGGCTGCGTGTGAAACCTGTGGTTGCTGTTTAGTGACCCCTTCACGCCGTGCAAGCAAATCAGTTGCTGTTTGGTGAGCAGCCTGCAGGGTCTTACAGATCTCTATTTTTAGGCCGTGCTTTTMAAGTTATTTACATCTTCCACGTGTAGACTCCCAGGTTACTTCAAGGTTTCTGAACTGCAGCAGCTCATGGTACTACTCGAACAGAGGTATGAGTCTGTAATGGTCTCGGCAGGCAGCAGAAATCCTGGCTTTAGCTTGCCAATGTCCACCGTTGCTCCAGCTTTCCAAACTAAGCCAGGCCTACAGGTCTGATGTTGGTGCTCATCTACAGTGTATGAAACGCTTTTTTTTTGCCACCCTTCCCTGCCCAGAGCAAGGTTAACTGTAACCCCCAATAGAAATAGTCTCATCACCACTCCATCCAGAACTAACCTGGACAACGCTTAATCCTCCTCTCACCAACTTCAGCAGCAGCTTCTTGACTGTGACTGATGTCAGCCATGCGTGCCAGCGCCCCTGTTTCTCTGTGCACACTGGTATTGTTTCTGCAGAGCGTTCTTGTTTCCTGTTCCCTGCTGAGGGACTTGTGCTTTCCACAGACGGCGCCTGCTGCCGTGCCCACGCTCTGACCGAGCAGCACCCCCGGCGCTCAGCGGGCTCCAAAGGCTGTTCCCATACACACGCTGGGGGCCAGATGCCCCAGCAATGTTCCTGCTAAGCCACAGGAAAAGCTTCGTCTCCCGCATCCTGGGGATGTTCAGAGCACACTTAGTGTCAGCATTTGTYAGCAAGAAGTGTGAAGGCTTGTTTGCCCAGAAGCACTTCTTTGAAACAGCTTCTTTAAAGGAGGGACACGTATCCCCAGCCTCGTCTCCTGCACCAGTTCAAACATTCTGCATCTCTGCAGGTGAACCCCCAAAGGGCARCCTGCCTGCTGTTCACAAAGCTCATGAGCATGTGCAAATGGTGTTTGACTCCTGCACCCCTTCTTATGTACAAAATGTCTTTAGAAAGAGCTCTGGCCATGTGCAGACTGTTACAAGCTGGATATCTGCACCCTTGTGAACTGAGGCTTGTCTGATGTAAACAATTCACATTTCAGAAGTAAAGAGCTTTATTTATGACCAGAAAGGTTGCCTTTCCCCTCCCCTGTCAAGAGCGTTGAAAGCAATTCAGGAATGAACTTTCCCTTTTGGCCAGTGTTTGGAAGGGAGGGTGAACGTATATATTTATTTTTCATTTTTTCCCCCATACCTATGCAAATACTGTTCTGTTTTGACATTGGAACAGAAATAATCAAAAAGAGGGGTTGGCCATTTTACTTTACAGTACAACTTCACACAGCAGTAAAGTGCAGGGATATTTCAGCATGAAAGGAAGGAACAGCTTTGTGGCTTTGGTACACAGAATTGAAGGACTTGGCAAATTCAGATGGAGCAATGACATTTTTTTGCCTTAGCCTGAGGCAGAAAGCCCAAACCAGTAGAGAAAAGCAGACCTCAGCTAGTGGGAGCTGATGCTGTTGAGTGGAGCTTTGCAGTTAACACCGACTTGAGGGACAATTTGGGGGCCTGTGTGTTGTACAGGGCAGGGCATGGGCTGCAGAACCTCCCTAGCAGTGCTGCCAGTAGAACCAGGTCACTGTTCCAGTGTTCCTCCTGTGCCACCCAACCAGAAAATTCTAAGGACGGTGGAAAAAAATGTGTTCATCCATCTACAGACCCTGCACAGAGACTGCCAGCAATCTTCTTTAAAGAGATCACGTGTCCCTGTGTGTCATAAATATCTGCTGACAGAAAAGYAGGGSCAGAGACTGAAACCTGCAGTGACATTTTTCCAGGAGGGCAGGATTAGGCTTAATTAGCTGCTGGGTTTGCTCCAGGCACCAGACACAGGATCCCTGCATGTGGGAACTGGTGTTTAGGAGCACTCCAGTATTGAGAAGTGGGATTATTCATTTCTGTGGTGGGCAGAGGAGCCTCAGCTGGGCTGTGACAGTTTGTCAGAGTGAGTAACTTCAGCACACAGTTAGTTTTAAAAATCCAGTTTTTGGTGTCATGAATTGGAGYCACTCCAGTCATTATAAAGTCCTGGCTTGAAATTGGCTTCCTGCATTGCAGAGGCCACAAGGTGCCCCTGTGTCTCACCCCACCCTCAGTTTTATGGTTAACAAGAATGTCCTTTGGAGCACAAGAGCCATTTCTGGCACAGAGACTTCAGGAACAGCAAGTCTATCACTTCCTCTGCTGGATTGTTGCAAGGGATACATGACTTTATGTGCATATTTGTATGTGTATCTATAAAAATACATATTCATGTCTCACTTAAGTAGACCTACATCCTTTTAGTCAGCAGCCTCAGGCCCTATCTCTCTGGTAGGTCAGACATGGAGCACTTCTCCCTGCTGACACATTTTGAGTGTTTTTAAGCCTTGTTAATTCCTAAAGGCAATATCAGAGCTGAAGAAAACTCAAAACCGATTGCAATTCCTATGAGAAACAAGAAAGGAAGAAGGAAGGGCAGGGCTAAATTTCAACAGATACTGCAGCATGGAGTGGCAGAGATGTGGGAACAGTCACGTACCTGGGAGGTGTGCTGGGACAGAGGGAGGTGTTGGTAGGTGAGGACAGTCCCAGTGTCGTGTTAGGCTGCTCAGCTGCCAGCCACGGCATGTTATGAACTGTGCCAGCCCCATCTGTTGTGTCYCAACATTTCCTGTGCTCTCCTTCCCTGCAGATGCCTTACCTGCTCCTGAACCCGTCCATGCCAGAGATAAGGCCTCGAATGCACCCTGTGTTTTTTGGAGAAAGCATTGAGGTCAGCCCTGAGCCCGTGCAGGAAATCAGGTACAGATGGGATTGGGTGGGTAGATGGGGATTTCTGTCTGTTTTTTTCTGGTGCTTCTGCCAAAAAATTAAAATGTGTTTACAAATGGGAGTCATGGTTATTTTGATGGAAAAGGAAGGACAGGTGGGAGGGTAATTCCTGAATTAAAGACACTGAGAGCAGCAGAGGCAGAGGAGAGGAGGCAAGAATTGGAGGGAGGTTTTAACAGAAGGCAGCTTTCCTTCCAAGGCCAGCTCAAATCCAAGGCTGTGAGAGAAAACCATTACCATCTGTGGGCTTGATGGCCCCACTAAGTGATCTGATGGTCTTCATACTGTTCCCAGATGACTTGTATCTSCAGAAGAAGCAACACCCTTATAATTGGCACCTGTTCTTGTTAGCTCTTGCAGCAGAGAAAGCAACATTAGAGCAGCCCACAGAGACTGAATGAGCTCCTCTTTCTGAGGAGATGATCCCTCAAGCCAGTGATGGAGATGTTCTGCCCTCCTGTGGGAGTGGTGCTGCTGCCAATGGATCAATATTGGTCTGTGCTCTTTTGCTGGTGTGGAATGTACCGTGCACACAGCACGGAGCAGTTACACACAGCTTGGGGTAGGGACAGTGGGAGGACTGTAAACCCMATTCCCACCCCCCTCAACCTGTGCAAACCTCTCTCTGGAAATGCACCCCAGTAAATCTCTGCTGGCTGAGGAACTGCCAGCGGGCATGTTTTTATGGTGATTACATCGGAGTCTTGTTTTATGTGTGCTGAATGACTTGCTTACACCCTGGCTGTGCAAAATACATTGCAGCAGCTCAGATTACACGCGGTGCACAATCAGTCAGCCCCCCTCTGGGTGGAAGTAATGACAAGCACACACCCAGCTTTTAATCTTTTTTTTACGTGGAGCTGCACATTCCTTGGCTGCTGATTGCTGGAGGAGCGTTTGGGGAGCGGGAAAAACCAGTGGAAGTCCTGCTGTTCCCCATGGCTAGGCCTTCCAGGAAAAACCCCTTTTGTGGCCTGGTATCCACACATTCTTTTTCTACATGGCTGCAGAAAAAAAAAGCCAGGCAGTGGCATTCTGCTGTTGCAGTTCTTCATCTTCTGGCAGTTGAGGTGGCCAATTCCTTTGAGACTGGTGGCCTGGGTTTTGGGCAGCCATAGCCCACAATATCCCATTGCTTTCCCTGCTCTTTCAGCATTGCTTGGATTTTCTGTAGGCTCCAACAAGCAACTTCATCCCTCATCTCCCAGCACACAGATTTTAGCTGGTTTGGACATTTTTGTGCAATGATAGCAAGGTGATACAATGAAAAATGACAGACAGCCTTGACAGCTCAATAAGTCCATTGCAGGGTGTTTGTCTGCCTCCAGTGTAGCTCTCAGGCCTGAGCTGAGGCCCTAATGAGACCCATGGAGAAAACCAGAGGGAGAAGAGTGTTGCCTGGAGCCTGTGCAGCAAGGTGTTTTCTGCCCTGCTGCAGCCATGGTTCCCTGTGCACAAACACTGCAGAAATGCTAAGATGGATTCACAGCAAGGTGGGGTTCCAACAAGATTCCCCAGYAGGACAGAGTCCTCTTGGCTTTGARTTGTAGAGTTGGTGTCTGTGCAGTAAGAGGTGATAAACRCTGCCAGCTTCGAAGGGTTAGAGAAGAGTCCTGTCTTACCTCCTTTGCTGCCTGGGCTGTGCTCCTGATAGCTTGCTGTCCTCYGTAGGTGCAATTCCGAGGTGAAGTACGACTCGGAGAAGCACTATCGGGATGACATCTTCTACGGCCCCATCCCCACCGTCACCACCTACAGCGAGACGATCGTGGCCGCTCCCAATTGCACCTGGCGGAACTACAAGTCCCAGCTGATCTTCGAGCCCCGCCAGAAGCCGGTGAGGTTTCAGAGCACGACCATCATTTTTCCCAAGCGTGCCAAGAACATTTACCGGACCACCCTCAACTACAGCTTGGGTTGTGCCAAGCGCTGGTTTGCTTCCAGCGTGCAGCTGGAACTCTGTGAGGAAACCAAGGCGTGCGTCATGGACGGCGAGACCCTCTGATCCGCCGCGCCGCTGGCAACTGCGCGACCTTCGCCGGGTCCCTGCCTGGGCCTTCCTTGATGGCAACTCAATATTCATGGCTGCAGAACGCCCTCGTCTCGGGCGAGGCTGAACTGGCTGGGAGGAGGCTTGCAGGGCACAGGATGGTTTTGATCAGTGAGAGGCTGGCTTGTATTTTGCGACGTTCCTGACGTTCATGATCTGGATTTTATTTTTGGGGCTTTTTTTTTTTCCCCCCTCCCCGAGCATATCTATTTTTGGCTTGTGTTTAGATGGAATCAAGATGACAAAGGACCCTGTTATCCATAGCAGGGTGATGCCTTAYGAGCTCTGTAGGTCTCGTCTAGCACATAGGTGAGAGTCACTGCAAGCTTCAGAGCTATTTTGGTCTCTGCAGAGGGAAGACCAACTGCAGAGTCAGCGTCTGGTCAGCCCAGCACACACCAGGCCAGATCTCTTTCCAAGCTGAAATGTAGAGGTGGTTATTTGTATCCGTACCTCACAGCTTGATTCAACAGCTCACCTGAGTGAGAGCTGCCTTTTTAATTACAGCACTGTGGTCACCCCCTTCCTGGGAGGAGTGGAGACTGTCACCCCAAGAGAAAGAGGATTTAAACAGATCCCCCCAGCTCTTGCCAGCAGCTGGATGTTTGTATACCATAGCAAGGCACAGCACAACCAGGAGATGGGAGAAAGGCCTGCCTGATGCACAGACACATCTTCTGTGAGCCCAGCCAGGAGTAAGCAGGGGAAACTGAGGGAACTGAACAGCTGAAGAGCCAGTTTCTAAAAGTGTTCAAGTGATTTAGGAGCCCTTTTATCACAAGTATTGTCAGACCRGGTGTGCCATGCTGTTCACTGCCTCTAACACCCAATTTAAGGGATCTGTATGCACTTGCAGCCCTTCTGAGTTTCAGGGTGTGGCTGTATTGCAGAGAAGACTGTAGGGCAGGAAGATGCTCCCTGGCTTCAAAGAAGCCGGGCAGGGTTAACTCACCCTCTCAATAGTTTCCATATTCGTGGCATGGGCARCTTTGCTGACTGTGGAGAAGCAGCCAAACTTTCTCAGTGTAGAGCTTGAAGGATTGAAGAACCCAAAACCATCCAGGTTTTCCTTGATCAGCCAGGCTGTAGCACAAAAACAGGCACTTCACAAACAGCTGAGCTGTCTCTGCAAAAGGACCAAGAAATAGTGAGCAAGAGTCAGTGCAGCCATCCTAAGGTAAACCATTCCCCACTCATGAATCCCATCTCCTGGTAGATCTTCACTTCGGTGTCTTGCTGAAAATCTGCAAGAGCCTGGATTCCCACAAACATAAAACTTTTGAAAATAGCACGGAATTGTCTCCAAAAACCTTACCAAGAATTCTTACATGCTGCTCAGACTTAGAAATAACCACACAGCTCCGGAAATTAATTTCCAGCTTTCTCTCTTCTAAACTTTCCATTTTGTTCCTGCCTTGCTGTGAGTCTGATGGAGTTATTTCAGAACTCAGTTGAGCAGCCAAGTCAGAAAGCCTATTAACAATGTCAACAAGACCTAGCTGATTGCCCAGAACAGTTGACGCACAAACCCACAGAGACTTAAAAAAAAA